GTGTCAGCTTGATTAGTCGTGTTAACGATACCTTTCCGTATTCGTTCTGCCTCCATGATGTCCTCTTCTCGCTCCAATATCTCCAGCAAGGCGCTTACCGCCTTCTCTCCTGAGATGTTTGTGTACATAGATTGTACATCGAATCTCACCAACAGCTTCGACTCCATTAACCCAATGTTCTGGATCCTTTGAGAAAATTCATTAGAATTCTTGACGGTATTCAAGAGTCTGTAATTTATTTTCTTGAGCTTCAAGCAAATAAATTTCGCTAGTTTGTGCATTGCGCTATGCTTCTTGTTGACTATTAGTCTTACAGGATTCCCTTTCTTGTGTATCTTCGGTAGTCCATAGGCTGTCAGTGATCTTGCGTCATTTTGATTAAAGATTTCATCATCCACCTGTAAATTTCCCCATTTGTATGCATTTCTATTTTCTCCGTGTAATGTTTTCTATCCATTACAACTGTCGCTTCTCCCTTATCCACCTGAAGAACTATTTGATCATTAATTTGTACTTTTTTCCGAATACTAGCCAATTTGCTCCATTTTATATGTTCTTGATGAGTCAGGATCCGTGGGTTATTTCCAGTTCCATCTCCCGCCTTGTATCTTGTGGATATTTATCCGTTATTTTGACAACTACCAGGATATCACTAAGAAAATTTCCTTCATTAGCTGGTGAAAAATGCAAACTCTTTTTTAAGATATCCGTAGTTTCAGAATCAAGAGGGATTGAAGATAGTTTTACAACCTTTGTCCTATCGTCGACTGCTACAGTTGATGCCTTTAAAAGAGAACCAACAAAATTTGCCCAGGTTGACTTGGTCTTGCGTTGTCTTTTTATCCCATAGCTAGGCAATTTCTTATCATGTCGCTTATTTATTAGATCCCGGACCCTCTGTGACTTCTGGTTGGTCATGCTCTGGAGTTTTTAAAAATCGTCCAAAGCGAGAACCTTACCTAAATCCTTCCTTAACCTAGACTTAAGATCTATTAACTTAAATAGTCTACGCCTCTCGGTCTCGTAACCTTCCTTTAATTTCTGCATGGAAGAATTTCATTCACTGTGTCCTAATGACACTTCCTCATTAGATTGCAGAATCGGGGAGAGATACTATACTGTTTGAAACAATTCAAAAAGGCTAAATGGCAGGATTGACTTACAATTGTCTTTGTCCCGCTGTGATCAGTGCATTGTTTGACAATATTACTTCCATATTTTATTCGAAGGTATGAAGACCAAGTTGGTGCGACCTTTTGTGTAGTCGCAGTCTCCTTTCGTTGTATAGAGGTTGTTTAACCCTGTTTTTGCCACATGGTCATATTGGTAGGAAGACTTAGAGGAACGCACCTAATCCACAGTCCATTGTCTGTATGATCATTTCCGAAGTTGAACCATGCACGTGGTACATTCCCAAACGTTTCGACGCCATTGTCAGTGACTATCGCCATCCTTAGCACCATACAACAACTCGTCAAAGATACAAGTGAAACCGATCCTTTGGTCAAAGGATCCACGGTTCAACTTTTGAAATAATCATGCAGACGATGGAATCCGGACTAGGTGCGTTCCTCTAAGTATTTCTACCAATATGAACATGTTGAGAAAACTAGTTCAAACAACCTCTATACAACGAAATGAGACTGCGACTACACAATAGGCCACACCATCTTGGTCTTCATACCTTCGATTTTCTGGTAAGTTTCGATATACACTGATATAAACGAAGCAATGAAGGTTTTAGAATATACACTCGATGAACATCCTGAGAGCACATTAGGTAAAAAGTTAGGCAAACATTTAATCACTAGATTAATAAATTTGGAAATAAATAATGCATATTTTATCTTTAATGCTAAGTTATATGAGCAAGCACGAAGCTTGGCTATGGAATCTTTTTTAGCCCCTATTTTAGCTAATTACTAAATGTCCCTTTTGGAAGTTCATGTGCTACAAGGAGCACTACTTGTTCCATGTTATTAGTTTATAATAATCACGATTACTTTGCTGTTTAGAAGTACAGCAAAGATAGTTACGGTGAATTCCTCGAGCTAGTAAATTAAATAGAGGAAAATGCTGATTATGGACATCTGGAAATCAAATGAAGTCGCTCAAAGTGAGTGTAGTCTGCCCTGATAAACGACAAACTGGGGGCATGGCAGTCACAGGACCAAGTAGACGGATAATCCCAATCTTCATAGAAATTTGGCGTTAGGCCTAGTAATTCGGAGTCAAATTGATTAGATATCTAATCGAGATGTCGTGGAAGACCAGAGACATTTTATTATCTTTGTCGTAGCAATATGGAGACCTTGAGTAACGTACCTAGTTTCTCGTCCTCTGCCATAGCTTCATGATTTTCAGCATCGGACTGTCGGCTTGGTCTCCAAGTTGCGAAAACGAAATTAAACCAAGGATATATAGCGAAAGGAGATTGTGACAAGACAAAAGACCACATTTTCTGTATATTCATATCTGAGATAGACTTACATTTTACTCAGGATAAGTTGGTTGAATCACAAAAATAGAGTGTGTAGACAATGACTGATATCTGCAGGGATGGGAATCAAAGCCTAGACGCTCTGCTCAGTCGGAATATTATATGTACTGCTAGACGCTTGTAGCAAACAATCTGAAATAGTTTTTTTTCGTATAAAAACAGAGTTTCTAGAGTGCCAGTAAATCAGTTGTTTGAGATGTTTTCGTTTAAGGTGACAAAGGAGTGATAGTAGAATTTTCCCACAATTATATGAATAAAGCTGAAGTCTCAATCGAATTTCACAGCCTTGCTTTCCTAAAAGTTGGACTGCATTTTCGGCCTCACTTAGGTCTTAGCAACACCTCCAGCGGGAGTCGAACCATGACAGTACTGCATGTGAGCTTGACACATTAACCACTCGAGCACATTGCCATGAATGCCCTTAGTCACAGGACATTCAAAAGAATGTGATATGGGAAAAGGCCTGGCCTTCCCTAAAATTCACATCTGTCACGATTCGACTCTTACTAGGGGTGTCGATAAGACCTAAGCGAGGTCGAAACTGCAGCCCACCTTGGATGAAAACAACTTTTGAAAAATTAAGGCTGTGAAATTCAAATGAATTTCTACTCTACTCATATCATTGTGGGAAAATTCTACTACCAGTCCTTCCTCACCTTAAGCGAACTAGGGTGAATATATCTCATATCACTGTTTTACTGGTAGTATCGAGATTGCTTATGTGCGAAAAAATAAGTTATGTAGTCGAGAGTTATGGCAAAAATATGTTTGTCTAGTCGAAAATCCCACCAAAGTATGTAATATGGGAAAGGCCTGGCTTTCCCTGAAATTCATAGCTAATCTGTGACCCGAGGTCATTCGTATGCTAAATGGTTAAATGTCAAGGTAACATGCTGTGTCAGCTCTACTCATTGTGGAAAAATTCTGCTACTATTTCTCATCATCTTAAACGAAATAGGGTGAATGCATCTCATATAAAGGTGCTAGATAGCGCCTTGATCAAACCTATTCTGCAACTGTAGCAGTGCTAAATCAGTTAACTAAAAAGAGAAGGAAGGAATTTATTGGTCGATTAGGAAGATTCGAGGTCCGAGTCCGATAAGCAAATCGAGAGAAAAGGGGGTTGAAAAAACTAAACAACGGGTATGACGACGCCACACTAAACTCTCAAAAATGGCCATCTATAGAGGAGTCGCATATAAAGAGAGCGGAAGTTGTCATACGACAGGAGTGAAATATGAATGTAGGGAGTATGTAGCAGTTCCAGACAGAAAAAAATGAGTTAGCACATTTTTTTGATAAAGTTTGTCAAAAGATTGACGAGTTGTGGCTTTGTGCTGAGAACGCCAAGACTCAATGATGATGATAATCTTGTTTTTTTAGATGCGTAGGAGAATGTGTCATTCCACGATCCAACGCTGGGAATTATCATAGCTACTATACTCGAC